CCCCCCCTCCAAAATCATTATAATCTTGAAATCAATGGGCTCTCAGGCAAAGATATGGGACTAAGAATAACAGTTCTTTACTAGAAAAACTAAAATAAAAATGCAGCAGCACAAAAAACCCCAACAAACCACTGACAGAGTCAGACTACAGCCTGACACCCTGTTAGTCAGGGTTTTGGTAGCAGTCCAATTAAATGGTGGCTGCAGTACTCCTGGAGTGACAGATGTGCTTCTGTAAAAGCAAGGATCCTGAAGAATAATGTAATTTTCTTCTGCAGGTCTAGTGGTATAGACAGCTACAGCCTTCCTCTGGGAATCCAATGGAGAAAGGCTGACTGGTGTTTCAAGTCTCCAATTATACCCAGGTAGGAATCCTTGGCTGCTCCCCCTGGGTGGAGCATCTCCCAATGGGATGATGTAATTTTATCAGTCATGCAGTGAAGACTCAGTGGCCCATTAACAGAAGATATCTCCCTGCAGGGAGGATGGGTCATGGAAGAGATAAAGAAAACTGCCCCACCTGGTTTTAACAGATGGTAATAAAATACATACTTCTGGTTACATCTTGCTTTGCAACCCAAGACATCTGTATCCACATTGCAAGTTGCCACAACAGGCTAGCTACCAGATGTATTTCACAACATTCTCTATGGGACCAAAATTTTCAGCTTCTAAATGCCAGAAGTTTTAAAATTTTATTTTCCATGTACAAATAACAAGGCATTCAAGCCAATCCTGGAAGTACAGTAATTTGCATTAATAAAATATAGAACATACACATGGCCAATGCAGAAAATCAATGTCAGTCTGCCCTGACAATGAAACAGGTTGATGACCACAGCACTTCACATAATCTAAACCTCCATGCAGAGATAACTTCTCATTAACCTATCAGGGAACTGCAATCCTGAAAAATACAGATATCACAACCAAAACTTTATCTACAAAAATTACTCTAACTACAAAAAAGTTGCCTAGTAAGAAAACAATTCCAAAAAACCAAAGGCTTCTGTGACTACAGTGTGATTACTTTGACTGAAATAGGCTCTCCTATTTCCTTGGCAGACTAGAAAATCTATATGGTATTGCATTTGGAATTTTATGGAATTCACAGAAATTCAGCAATAACTTCATGAAGAATTGCATCTGTTTAAAAGCATGCTAGTTCATATTTTTCAAGATACCAGAAATAAGTATTTGTAAGGACATTTTTAGAATGCTTTCTAAATGTTCTTAAAAATAAAAACCCTATTTATTTATTAAAATATATTTATTTTACAAATAAAAAACCTAAATTCAAATACAAACCCTATTAGCTTTCAAAATAGAAACTTTCAAAATAACTTCTATCATAATTCAATGCAACTTATTTTACATTAAACAGTATCACTGCTTCTCATGGAAATACACAATTTATAATTTCAATAATGTAAGTCTCTTGTGAATAGCTTGGTATCTCCTTTCCTGTTGTAATATAAATGCTTATTCATGTGGAATAATCCTCCCATAGATTATTACCTTCATATCTGAACTTACAAAAGATCATTTATCATCACAGATGTTGCAACAGCTGTCCATATAACCCAGTAAAGTAAATTCTCTTGTATTAGTCGCAGAGAAATACCTTGGAGAACTGTTTATTTGGCTTCAGAATGTAGTTGGTCAGTCTAGTTTTTCAGAGAGAAAACTTAAGCTATTACAGTACATAAATTATATGTAAAAAAAGTAAATGAGAAAACAGAATAAAATATTATGTGAACTGCTTCTCCCTCAAACAGGCCTTTAGTCAAGAAAACTCATATGACTTAATTAGTATGGCTACAACATGAAAGCTTCCATTCTGCATGTAATTAATTTGCAATTTAATTACTAATCAAGAATGTCTTGGTTTTTTCCATAGGACTATGCCCCACAGCAGTTAGTCCTCATATAGAGGCATGGAATATCCTGGAAATCTGGGCTTATTATGTAAGAGTGATCTTGGTGGTATTATTAATCCATTTTCTAGAAAAGAATGCACCTGAATGCATCTGAATTCCTTATTTCAGAAGCACACATATTTCAAAGGCGTATTCAGGGATCTTGGTTATACATATCACTTGAGCAGGAATCTGGGAAGTTATGGATAGTAAAGGCTTCTGTCAACAAAGAAATTTTTGCTGTTTCCGTACAATGACAGCATTCAGACTTTGGCAAAAAAAAAAAAGAAAAAAAAAGGCAAAAAGCAAAAAGCAGTAATTCAGAGAAAGTTATTAATTTTTATCGACAGAATTCCAAACTGTTAGTTTAAGTGGGTCTGCATCACAAGTTATTCTAACCCTTTTGGAACTGTTCTTTAGTCGGGGCAGCTAGGTTTGTATCTGAGATTTTAAAACAATCCATACATCCTTTTAAGTAGAAATTATTATAGAGAAACATTTGGTAGACTGAATTTCTAGACATAAAGAATGACTTTGGAGTCTGGTACTAAATGCTCACAGTGAACTTTACATACAATCAATGCTTCCTCAGTTGGTCTTTCAAACAAATTTATTAAAGGGTGTTGAAGGCTAAAAACAAACAGAAGGTGACAGTTTCACTTCAGCACTTACATATTTGAGAGCTTTCAAGTGTCCTTGTATTTTTAGGTAACAGATGATAAGAGGAAGTTTTAGGTTCATTTACTTGGCTTGTAGATTTTTGTTCAGCTATAGTAAAGGCCTCTGAACTGCAGAATTAAAGATCATATCTCTTCAGTTAAATGACTCCAGCTAAGCACCTTTATCTCACAAACCCTCCCTTTTTCACCATGAATTAAAGCCAGACTAAGGGTGGGAGTGGAATGAATCTCATTCCGCATTTGTGGTTTCCACAAGTGAGAATTATCAACATGTTCCTCTCTTTCCCAGAGAGTATTAAAGGAATAATGGAAAAGCTTTGAGATTTCAGGTACCACTCAGAGCTATATACACCCTGAACTCTAACTCCCAAGCAATGGAGAGGCTACTTTCTCCTGGTAATTGTACCTGTCAAGAGCACACTGCCCATGCTTCAAAATGTAAACCTAATAAAAGCTTTCAAGGCAGAGTGATCTGTCTCCTGTAAGTAAGAAAATGAGTTCATCAGATCTAATGGTCGTGTGAAAAGTAACCATGTGTCTTCTAGGTTTTCTGTGAAAGTTAGGATGGTGGCT